TCACCAAGAACATCCCCTCCTCTTCTCATCTAAACACTAGAGAGTGGTCAGGTGCGGTGGCTCACGCCTGTAATCCCAGTACTTTAAGAGCCCGAGGCAGGCAAATCACATGAGGTCAGGAGTTTGAGACCAGCCTGGCCAATATGGTGAAACCCTGTCTCTCCTAAAAACACAATAATTAGCCAGGCATGGTGGCGCTGTAGTCCCAGCTGCTCAGGAGGCTGAGGCAGGAGAATCACTTGAACCCAGGAGGCAGATATTGCAGTGAGCCAAGATTGTGCCACTGCACTCCAGCCTGGGCAACAGAATAAGACTCTGTCTCAAAACAAAACAAAACAAAACAAAAAACCACTACAGAGGTTGTATTCCAACGAGAACATGGGAGGCAGGAAAGGTGCTCTAGGGGGAGCAGAAGCAAGGAAGAGGGAAACGAGAGCAGGTGTGGAGCCGGCTGTGCAGCTGGGGTGCTATCTGGGAGGAGGAGCTGGGGAGAAGGAGGGAAGCTGCTGTGTCTCTAACCCCATAAGCAAGCCTCACCAGAGACTCCAGCCCCAGGAACTGGGAAGGGTTTCTCACTGGAAGCATGCCCGCAATGCCGGGATCTGTTTCCATCTGCTCATTTTACTGCTGAGTTGTAAAGTGCTAAATGTCATTATCCTCCCCTTCCTTAAACAAGGAAAAAAGTTAACAGTCTGAGAAAAGGCGATATTTCACTTCATTTGGCATCCAGCCACCATCACCCACATGGGTGCTCCCTTGGGGTCTGGCTAGGGAGGGAGAGGAGCCCTGTTCTGTTCTGCTTTCAGCATCTAACACCGCTCTGTGCAGGCTCCAGGCTGGGTGGCCAGGTCGCAGCTCAGCCTGGCTGTTGGCAGAGGAGCCAGCCACCCTCTGAACAGCTCAAACACTGCAGTAGGTGCCAAAATGGAGGAAAGTAACTGGTTCAGGGTCACTCTGCTCATTAGGGTCTCTTCTATATCGCCCGAGAAGGTGAACTTGAACCAAGGAAAATTACAGATTTCAACTCAATAGGACAAACTCACAAGACTTAGACCTGTTGAAAAAATGACTCCTTCATGAGGTAGTGAGCTGTTCGTCTGCCAGTGGCAGGCAAGTGTTGACTAGACCCCCCCCTTCAGAAGCCTCACTGTAAGGAGGAGTCTGCTGGTCGGTGGCAAAAGAGCTTGTGACTCAGGTTCTTTCCAATTCTGAGACTCTGGAAACCTGTAACTGAGAATCTCACCCATTTTCACCATCTTTAACATGCCTTGCCCCTGCCGTCTAAACAGGAGTTTCTGGCTGCCTGATGATGGCATGGCATGACACAGAGGGAGTGAGCAGGCAGAGCAAGGTGTGATTCATCTTCATTGTTCTGATTACGGGGTCATTAAGGCTTTCACTCTGCAGTGCTCCCTCGAGGAACTCCTGCTGCTTCGGCTATATGACACTGATCCTCACAGCGGCCCAGTGGGCAGGGGTGTCCCTCAGGGCTCAAAGCTGTACTTAAACAAACCCATTGAAGCTGCAGTCCTTGGAGACTGAAGGGGGCAGCATTAGGCCAAATCCCAAGGTACAGAAACAGCCATGCCCTCGTCTCCATTGGGCTGTGGAAAGGCCACTAACCCAGGATGAGTATGGCTGGTGTGGAGAGATTAGTGTTGCTAGTTAAAGCCTTCAATAGCTTCCCTTAGGTTTCCCACTGATCCCTAGGGCCCAGTATAACTTGCTCACCATGGTCCAGACTGTGACCTCCCTGAAGGCAAGGACAGGGTCTGTTTTGTTAACCACTGTAGCCCCAGAGCTTGGCAGTATGCTGGGCCCTTGACCAGCGCTTGGTAAATATCTGTTGAGTGAGTGAATGGAAGACCTTGGTAAATATCTGTTGTGTGAGTGAATGGAAGAGCCAAATGAAGTGGTCTTCCTGAATGTGACAGAAGTGAACTCATCAAGCGGGCATTCCTAAAAGGGCAGACAGCGCTGTAACACCCAGATTGCACATGGAATTGTAATCCCCAATGTTGGAGGTGGGGCCCAGTGGGAGGTGATTGGATCGTGGGGGTGGTGTCTCATGAATGGTTTAGCACCATGCCCCTAGTGCTGTTGTCATGACAGAGTTCTCACCAGGTCTGGTTGTTTAAAAGTATGTAGCACCCCCACCCCCTCTCTTGCTCCTGCCCTGGTCATGTAAGACATGTCTGCTTCCCCTAAAACCTTCTCCATGATTTGAAGGTTTCCCGAGGCCTCCCAAGAAGCTGAGCAGACGCCAGCATCATGCTTCCTGTACCTCCTGAGGAAACGTGAGCCAATGAAACCTCTTTTCTTTATAAATTACCCAGTCTCAAATATTTCTTTGTAGCCATGTGAGAAGGGACTAGTACAATGAGTCTGGAGGTTTGGACAAGTCCCTGATCTTTGGGCCTCAGTTTTCCCAATCACAGAATTGGGGAACTGGCGTGAGGCTGGATAGGAGATAGGAAGAAAGGCCATGTTTTCTGGTTGAGCTCTAGACCTTAAGGACCCTTGGGCTGCAGAACTGGCCCCAGCCTCTGTCATGTGGACCTGGTAATGGACCCATCTTTGGGACTGAGGTGCCACATCACTGCTGGGTGTTTACTGAGTTCAGTAGCCAAAACTTAGCCTGTCCTCTATGCCAAGCTCACTGCGGGCCATGGCACCAAATGGGTTGTGGTTCCTGCTATGAATGACCCAGAGTCGAAATGGAAATGGACATGCAAAGAGACAGAAAGAAATGCAACACAGTGGGGCGAAATGGCCGAGAGCTCTGCATCTTTGAAAGGGAGTGATTAATGAGAGGGGGTAGGATGTGCAAGACTACCTGGAGGGGGTGCCTTTGAGCTGAGCATTTGGGGTAGAAATGACAGGAAAAATGCCAGTGGGGGGAAAGGGTGGACAAAGGCACCAAGGTAAGGCAGTGTGGGAGCGGAGATCAGGGGTAAAGTGACAGGCAGGGTTGGTGCTCACAGGGCACAGAAGAGGCCCAAGTCTAGGCAGAAGATGACACAGCTCCTGCACAGGGCTGTGTTCCAGGAGGGAGCACTAAACCATGCTGGCCTGGTTCAGATCCTGGCCCTTCACATACATACCTGTGACCTTGTTCTGTGTCTCAGTTTTCTCATCTGTAAAATGAGGATTCTAATAGCTAACCTTCAGAGCTGCTGAGAGCATTAAGTGAGATGACAACATGAGAGTACATTAAGTGAGATTACATGAGATCGGCATGGAGTGGGCAGTCTGGGAAATGGTTCTCTCTCTCTCTTTGGCCTTTTGTTAATATGCAGATACTCCTGAGATAAGCTATAGTGGGCGTCTGTTGGCCACTTATGAAATTAGGGTGAACGAGATTATCAGAAAGTTTACTGAAAAAGTTATGAGAGGACAGGGAGGCGAGGAGGGGGAAATGCATGCCTTTGGGGACAGGAAAGGCAAGAAAGGAGACAAAGACAGACTTCAGCAACCTCTAAGTTTTGCCAGCAGACTGCCTTAAATTCAGTTTGTTTGTTTAAGGAAGGAGAAGAAAGAAATGGGTTTCCAGGCTGGTAGGCACGGTGGCTCAAGCTTGTAATCCCAGCACTTTGGGAGGCTGAGGCAGGCGGATCATGCGGTCAGGAGTTCAAGACCAGCCTGGCCAACATAGTGAAACCCCGTCTCTACTAAAAATACAAAAAATTAGCCAGGCATGGTGCTAGGCGCCTGTAATTCCAGCTACTCAGGAGGCTGAGGCAGGAGAATCGCTTGAACCCGGGAGGCGGAGGTTGCAGTGAGCTGAGATTGCTCCATTGCACTCCAGCCTGGTCGACAGTGCAAGACTCCATCTCAAAAAAGAAAAGAAAAGAAAAAAATAAGTGGGTTCCCATCCTCGGGATGATCATGGGTCACAGTCTTGGGCAGAGGAGGGATGGGAGTGGGTGGGGTGAGAGTGGACAGGGCTGTATGTAGCCTGCTGTTGAGTCACCTTCTGGCCTCTGCTGCAGTGGCCATGAGAGGAGAAGGAGGGTGAGAGAATGTCACCATTCAAAGTGGTGAACCATGGTGAGCCATGAGGTGGAATTCAGGATCCTTAGAGGGGCCTCACTGCCAGGTTTGACAGGTACCCGGAATGCCACCATTACTGTTGAAGCATTGTCCCAGAGGATATCAGAGTGACCCATGTAACAAGTGACACACAAACCTTTAACATATAAACACTGAATACTTTCGTGTTGATCAGTTTATTAGTATTTTTCCAAACCTGAAGAAGGGTGAAAATAAGTTGGACGTACAGCGTGGGGAAAACAGTAAGTGCAGCTTTGGACACGCCACTTCCCTCCTACAGCTCTCAGTGTTCCCCTCTGCACAATGACGGGCTTGGAGTGTTGATGTCTAAGGCACCGAATTTCAGTCTGTTCTCCATCCCTCAGTGGATATGTGAGATGCAGTGCAGGGGTGCTGGCCTGTCCCTGGTAATGAGTGAGGACATGGGCAAAGCAGTGAGTGCAGCCTGGAATCCCAGCTACTTGGGAGGCCGAGGTACAAGAATCGCTTGAACCTGGGACGCTGAGATTTCAGTGAGCTGAAATCTGGCCACTGCACTCCAGCCTGGGTGACAGAGTGAGGCTCTGCCTCAAAAAAAAAAAAAAAAAATTCTATATGACTATGATTCCAAAAGTGTAAAATTCCAAGATTTTCTTTAGAATTGGTAGAATGGTTAAGATTGGGGCAGGGCTGGGTGCGGTGGCTCACACCTGTAATTCCAGCACTTAGAGAGGCCGAGGTGGGCGGACCACTTGAGGTCAGGAGTTCGACGCAGCCTGACAAACATGGTGAAACCCCATCTCTACTAAATATACAAAATTAGCCAGGCGCGGTGGTGCACGTCTGCAATCCCAGATACTCCGGAGGCTGAGGCAGGAGAATCGCTTGAACCCAGGAAAGCTGAGATCGTGCCACTGCACTCCAGCCTGGGCAACAACAGCAAAACTCTGTCTCAAAAAAAACAACAAAAAACAAAAAAAGAACGATTGGGGGTACGTGGCACCTCCTAATGGGTGGGTCCCCTAGGTTCCCCTAAGAACAGGGAAGTCAAGTGAAGGTTCTATTCACGGGCTGTATTTCAGAGCGTTTGGGAGGCCTTTCCGGCCAAGCTGACCACGGAGGAGCCCTCCTGGAAGAGTGACAGAGAGGCAGGAATGCGCCCTGAGCACCAGGCTTAGGTCCTGTCCCCTCACTCACTAGCGGTGCAATCTCGCCCTCTGCTCTAGCCATAGCTTTTCTGGCTGCGGGAGCTGAGACCCCACTCCAGCCAACTAAAGGGGGCTTTCACGTGAGGACAGAGTGTGGCCCACGGGAGTCCAGGGACAGGCACTCGGACCTGAGGGATGGAGCGCCTGGACTAGAAAACGGCCACACTGAGGCACGTGTCTTCTATTTCTCTCGGGAGCCTCACAACCACCTTATTTTACCTGTATGTCTAGAAGATTCTGTCCCTCAGCTGGCAGCTTCGCGGCGTTCTCTCACCTCTGCTGCCAGCCTCTCCTGCTCTGGCGAATCAGGCCTCCAGTCTGGGTGGGCATATTTCAAACCGCCCGGTGTCGCAACGTCCCCATTCACAATTCCCGACAGAGAATCGAACTGGCTCCTCTCCCCGGCCAGCCGAAGGCAGGGGGGCCGTGCGGACCTGGCCCCATCAGCCTCGGGCGCCGCGGCGGGGTCCCTGGGAGCCTCCGGCCTGGGTGCCCACGCCCTATAAGGAGACCGCCCGGCGGTCCCGCGGCGCGCTGGCGGCCTCGCCCTCGCGCTCCATGGTCTCGAAGAGCAGCCGCACCAGCGCGGGCCGTCCCTGGGCCACCAGGGCCCGGGCCAGCCCCAGCACCTCGTCCGTGTGCCCGCGCCACACGCGCTGCAGCTCCTGGCGCAGGCGCGCCGCGGGGTACTTGTCCTGGGCGCGGCGCAGCCAGGCGTCCACCTCGCGGCCCAGCTCGGCGTCGCTCAGCTGCGCCTGGCTCCACTGCGCCAGCAGCGCCTCCAGCAGGCAGCCGAAGCCCTCGGTGTGGCTGGAGCCCGCGTCGTCCAGCTCCACCGCGCGCTTGAAGCAGGCCGCCGCGTTGGCGTCCTCGCCCTTGATGCGCAGGCACTTGCCCCGCAGCAGCTGCAGCTCCGGCAGAGCGGCGCCCAGCTCCGACTCGCCCGCCTTGGCCAGGAACACCAGCGCCTGGTTGAGCGCCGCCTCGTCCACCGCCAGCAGCTCCTGCACCGCGTCCACGCCCATGTAGTAGTAGACCTGGGGTGGGGGACACGGGGTGAGCCCTTCACCGCAGGCGCGGCCCCCGGCTCATTCCCACCCCATGCTTGCTTTAAAACAAATTCCACACTTTGGGAGGCCGAGGTGGGTGGATCACGAGGTCAAGAGATCGAGACCATCCTGGTCAACATGGTGAAACCCACCCCATCTCTACTAAAACTACAAAAAATTAGCTGGGCATGGTGGCGTGTGCCCGTAATCCCAGCTACTCAGGAGGCTGAGGCAGGAGAATTGCCTGAACCCAGGAGACGGAGGTTGCGGTGAGCCGAGATCGCGCCATTGCACTCCAGCCTGGGTAACAAGAGCGAAACTCCGTCTCAATACAACAACAACAACAACAACAACAACAACAACAAATTCCACTCCTTCATTCATTCCCACCCTCCCTCCATCGACAATGATGAATCACACGTTTTATTTCTGCGCCTCTAGAAGAGAGTACACCGATTCCAGTTCCAGCCCCTTCACACCTAGCCGTGTAATCTTGAGTGAGTCTCCGGATCTCGGTTTTCTTGTATCTAAAATTATGATATTGTCACTTGGTGGTGGTCATTCCCTGAACACAGATAGAGAATAAGACATCTTCTAGATAAAGAATAATGTCCGCACTTCCTCGAGTGCTTAAGAAGAGCCAGGCCTTATTCAGTCCTCACCACAGCTGGAGGGGGTGGGAGCTGTTATGAGGGGTGCATATTTTTCCTCTGTCTCCTCGGTGCCCAAGCCTAGCCTGGCAGGGAATAAACAGATTCTTACTCAGCCATTCGCTAAGCCAAGACACTGCCTTACCTGGCCGATGTCCAGGTATGTCCTGAAGCCTGGGCACACCCTGACCACTTCCTCGAGGTCAGCCTTGGCACAGGCCAGGTGGTTCCTGTCAGGCATGCCCCCGAGACCCATCTTGGCCCGCTCCAGGTCGTGCAGGTAGGTTCTGATGTGGATCTGCCAACAGAGAGCCAGCGTAGGAAGGATGATCCAGGCACGGGCCTCTGCCCTCCTCTCTGCTCTAAATGAACCCAGTCCTTTTTTCAACAACAACCAGGGAGGTTCTGCGATGCAGTAGAAAGACCCTGAGGCCAGGACCCAGGAGTCCTAGGTCCTACTCTTGGACCAAGTTGGGCTAGCCACACCTCCTTTCTGGTCCTTAGCTTCCCTGTCTGTGCAATGAGTGGGCAGGATGAAGAAAGAGCCCCTCGTTCATTCAACAGATATGTATTGAGTGCCCACCATGTGCCAGTCCTATGCTGGGTACAGGAGGTACCGTGGTAACAAGATATATGAGGTCCCTGCTCTGGTAGAACTTAACATTCCAGTAGGGGTGCAGTCAGTAGTAAACTTTGGCATTTTAAGTGGTAAGTGCTATGACAAAATAAACAGGACAACAGGATAGCGGTGATCGGGGAGGGTTATTTTAGGCAGGATGGCAGCACTGATTTTGTGAGTCTATGTCAACAAGCAGTTTGGGAAGAATGGCAGGCGGCCCCAGCTGACAAGTGTCACATTACAAGTGATTTCAGACCCTTGCTTTCCTGACTTCCTCTATTTTCCCCACACTTAGAGGATTTACAAAGTTTGGAGGTTTCGGAAGGGTGGGGTTGGGGTGGGTAGGAGGAAGCAAGGGAAAGGGGGTCATTGTTGTTGAAGGTATTAATGCTTTATAGTCATCAGAAGGGCTCTGGTTACAAGGCAGCATCATGGGGGCAGGGGTAGATGATTCTCTGAATTTGGGGTCAGTTGGACTAGGGTTTGAATTCCAGTCCTCCGTTTAACCCCTGGCTATTAGTCATGTCATCTGGAGGGAGTTCCACAACTTCTATGAACCTAATTGCTATATCTGAAAAATTAGTACATGAATGTCTTCCTTGGGGAATAACCATGACGACTGAAAGAACATATTCTAGCCAGGACCTAGCATATGGCAGGTGCTCAGTTCATTCATTCCTTCAGCAAATGTTCATTAAGAGCCTCCTCTGTGCCAGACACTGTTGCAGGCACTGAGAATACAGTAGACAGCAAAACCACAAAAAATCCCTGCCCTCAAGTGGCTTCTATGCTTTGGGGGAGAGAGACAATGAACATGATAAAGATGTGAATAGTGTGTAAGGGAATGATTAGTGCTAAGAAGAAAACTAAACCAGGAAAGGAGAACATAAAATGCTGGCGGTGGCTAAGTGTGGTGGCTCATGCTTATAATCCCAGCACTTTGGGAGGCTGAGGCTGGAGGATTGCTTGAGCCCAGAATTTGAGACCAGCCTGGGTAACATAGAGAGAACCCTGTCTCTACAACAAATAATTTTTTAAAAATTAGCTGGACGGGTGTGGTGGTACACCCCTGTGGTCCCAGCTACTTGGGAGGCTGAGGTAGGAGGATCACTTGATCCCAGGAGTTTGAGGCTGCAGTGGGCCGTGATCACGCCACTCCACTACAGCCTGGGTGACAGGGTGAGACCTTGTCTCTAAAAGAATTTTAAAAAGAAATAAATTGATAAATTAAATGTTGGCCAGGCTTTAACATTTTCAATTAGATGGCCACTAGAAGACCAGTAGGAAGTGAGGGAGGAAGCCAATCGGATATCTGGGAGAAGAGCATTCCAGGCAGAGGCCCAGGAGCAGAGGGAGGTACGGTAGAGAGGTCATGGGCCAGGGCCGTGCTTATGGGCCGCAGCATGGACTGAAGGACTGAAGCTTTTACACAGATAACGTGAGTTCCCTCCTCCTCACCATCTCTTCTCCACCATCCTGTGCTCCTCTGGTCATCTGAGTAGTACGTATGACCTTTGGAGCCACAGAGAGGCCAGGATCATAGGACAGCAGATAGTGATGAGGGAGGAGGGTAAAGTTGGAGTTTCTGATAATTAAATGCAGTTCCTAGGGGAAGTTCACTGCCTCCCTAGTCCTCTGTGGCCTCATTTGCAGAATGGCACATGTCTGGCCTCTCTCACAGGATTCTTGTGAACATTAAATCAGACCAACAACATGAAAGTGCTTAGTGAAATGCAGGGTTTTATAGAAATATTTTATTATTTACTATTATGGTTAATATCATTAGTGTCTATAATAATAACCACATCAACAACAGTGAAGGAATTTCACTCCTGCCTTGTACCTGCTGGCAAAGTAATTAAGCCACTGAGACCAAGACTGGGAGCAGATTTGCCACCGGGTCATGTACAAGGTAGTAGAGGAGATGAGGGGATGGGGGGACTCTTCGTCTTGCAGTGAACTAACCTTGGAGCTCTGAGTCTGCTTCCTCAAGCATATGGGCTCTGTGTGGGCTCTAGCGGGAAGGTCGGGACTAGTACGGGAAGCTAGCGGGAGACAACGCTCACCTAAGTGTGTAACTTGCAGAGCTAAATAACTATGCGGTGGGCTGCATCAAGAGACACTGAGACCATTAAAAAATATACCTAATATTAGAATAGTTGCAGTCAGTCTCCTATGAGATCTCACTGTGTGCTTGATGCTGAGTTTTACATAATCTAAGTTTCATAACAGCTCTACGAGATGTATTATCATCTCCAGTCTACAGATAAAGAAACTGAGGCTCAGAATCTGGGCAAGAGTATTTTGCCAAAGGTCCCATAGCATGTGGTGTTGTGGGATGTGAACCAAGGCTGTCTGTGTTCAGAGCCAGAGCTCTGATCCACTATATTAAATGACCTCCACTGCCTGTCAGAAAAGCACCTCCTATATCCAAGACACTGTGCTTTAGATGCCACCTCACTGAGTCTGTTGACAACATTTTAAGGAAAGTGTTGTTATTGATATTTTACAGATTTGGGAACTGAGGTTTGGAGGGGTAAGTGGCTTGCTGCAAGTTCCACAAAGCGCAGAGGCCACATTTCAACTCTGGTCAGTCTGATTCCACCCGTGCCAATACAGAGAGTCTGGTGGCTCACTGACCAGCCACTGTAGAAGGGATTCCTGCAGTGAGTGGAGGCTCCTGCATTCTTTCACTCACAAACCTTACAGGGCTGAGTGCAGTGGCTCACACCTATAATCCCAGAATTTTGGGAGACTGAAGTGACAGGACAGCTTGAGCCCAGGAGTTTGAGACCAGCCTTAACAACATGGCAAGACCTCATCTCTACAAAAAAAAAACAAAAATTAGCCGGGTGTGGTGGTGTGCACCTGTAGTCCCAGCTACTTGGGAGGCTGAGGCGGGAGGATTGCTTGCACTTAGGAGGTCTAGGCTGCAGTGAACCATGATGGCACCACCATGCTCCAGCTGGGCGACAGAGCGAGGGCCTGTCTCAAAACAAACCAAAAACTTTATAGAACCCAACTGTGTTTTTTAATGGCTCCTAAGCTCCCTTCCACCATGGGGACTCCCTGACCTTTGGGCCCTGGCAACAAGGTCTTGGCCTCTGGCCCTTGTTCTCTGATTCCCGATGGCAGGGTAGGGTGGGCTGCAGGTTGACCCACCTTGGCCCGTGTGCAGTACGCCTGCCAGTTGAGCTCAGGATCTCGTAGGGCATCCAGGGCCATGTTGCAGGTTCCAATGGCCATATCCTGCTTTCCTAGGAAGTGGAAGATTTTGGCCAGGCGATTGAGGATGGGCGGTTGGTTCTTGGCAATCTCGATGGCCTAGGTAAGGCAGGAGTGAAAAAGCAAACCACTTGCCTGGCTGTCAGCCACAGCGGGCTAAATGGCGCTGAACCACAGGAACCCCATCTCTGGATACAGCCATACCACCATGGTGCCTTTCCCCATAGCCACCCTTACCCACCTGTCAGTAAATCGTCATATCATGGAACCCAACATCTTGGGGCACAACCCATCGGCACTCAACTCCTGAGAGCCTGACCCACGACATCACCCATCACATCCAGTAAAGCCTTCCAGACTCCAGTCAGACTCCTCCTTCCCAGTGTATATTCCCCGTCTTTCTGGGACACATGAGAGGAAGCGCCAGAGGCAACCCCCCTCCCCCATCCTTACAAAGCACAGGGTTTCTACCTGGTGATAGCACTTACCCCTACTATTGTCACTGACTGCTTCCCGTTGTAAGCAACTTGCCTTAGTGTCACACAGCCTATGGGGAGGGCTGGCAGGGAGACCCCAGCTAAACCCATCTTTCTACTATGCCATTGGGGGTGGGGAGGTAGGGAACTCCTGGCAGAGGGGATACTGTGAATGAAGGTCTTGAGGGAAAAAGTCTAAGGATCTATTTCAAGGCTGGAGAAATGGGGTGGGGCCAGATTGGATATGGGGAGGGTCTCTTTTGTATTGAATGAAGAGAGGATGGAGAGCAATGTCTGGAGTAGGTGTACTTCCTGAGTGGGCCACAAGGTGGGGGATGATACCCAGAGAAGCCTGTGTTCTGGGCAGAGAGGCTGGGGCACCAGGGCACGTACCTTGCCGAAGCAGTCCAGAGGGTCGGTCCCCGAGTACCCACAGTCGTGGATGCCCATGGGGGTGGTAGAGAAGGTGTCCTTCCGCTCCAGCAGCATTCCGAGGTAGCACCAGGCCAGGGCTGGGGGTGAAGGGTGGGAGAGGGTCTCTAGGATGCAGCAGGGTGGAGAGAGGGAAGGGGCCATCTCCATCCTAGGTGTCACCCATGAAGACAAAGCAAGGGACAGTAGTGTGAGATCACTGAGGGCAAACCTGGGACAGAGAGAAGCAACGGTGGAGAGAGGGGCCACGTGAGGGGTTAGTGAACCTATTTTAGTGCTTATTCTATGTTCAATGTGTCATCGGGGGGACCTCATTTCAGGTACATAGGTCTTTTCTGACTTCAGCTCTCATCGGCTCTGGTGGTTCTACTCCTGGCTGTGCAAAAAAAAAAAAAAAAAAAAAAAAAAGACTCCTCTCCAACAGAGGATTCAATCTCCTGACCATAAGTAGGGGAAATGGGGTAAACTGCCGCTCACCCTCCAGGTCTCGAGTGGCAGAGGGGAAGCCTGCAGTCACACTGACTTGTAGTTGGCATGTTCACTTGGGCAAGGCTCCTTGAGGTGCACGGATGAGTGTAGGTGACAGGGCGAGGGGGAAAGAAACAGGAGCCAAGAGGGGGAGGCAGTGCCAGAGGTGGGTGCCATGCCAGCGGGCTGGTGGTGGGGGCAGAGGCTGCTGTCCCGCCCTCCCCTGAGCCCTACCTCGGTGGTGGGGGTCCTCAGACTTGAGCACTTGCCGGAGCAGGGCCAGGGTGCGGTTAAAGGCGGGCAGCCTCTTCTGCTCCTCACTGCCCAGCTCCAGGAGGATGCCATCTAGCCTGTGGCCGAGAAGGAGATGTGGCTGGTAGCGCACCCTCCCGGTTGTCCTATGTGCTGCCAGCCCTGCCCAGTCCCATGGCGGGTGGGGAGGCCTTGGGGATCTCTTTCCAGTAGGATGGGTCCAGCCACCTCTGCCCCTGCCCTGCTGGTGGGTGCCAGGTCACACCTCTCCCTCCCCCATCCCATACCCCCCATCCCCCTCTTGCCTGACCTGATGTAGAGTGTTGCCATGGTGAAATACCAGCCCCTTTTCTCCTCCATCGGGATCTAGGGAAGCAGAGAACAGCCCACGCTGCCATTACTGAGGTACTCTGGCCATGGTCCTTAAACTCCCACTCTCCCTGAACTCCAAGAGGCAGCAAGCACAGCGGGAAAGGCTTTGACGTTAAACACCCTTGATTACAGTCCTGGCTCTGCCATGACTGGCTGGGTGGCCTTGGGCAAGTCACTTCACTTCTCTGACTACAGAGGCTTTGTGAAGGCTCCCAGTGAGGTGGTCATCCAAGAGCAGGTATGGCGAGCATTTTTCTCCCCACCTTCCATAGGCACCCCAACACCAGGGCGCACACCCGACTGCCCACCCTCTCCATGCCCACCTGCCTCCCCCTTTGGTGCCATCCCTGCAGCCTTCACTTCCTGAGAAAGCCCCTTTGGGCATGTTAAGTGAGCCCAGCTCAGCTGAAGCCCAAAACCCCCCTGAACTGTTTTGCCATTATTATTCCTGCCAACCTTGCTGTGCAACTTGGGCACCAGATAAAATATTTATGCAGTTATTTATGGCAGTAGCTGCTCCAGCTTCGGGAAGGAATTTTAATGAAAACCAATAAAACCCCCAGTGCATATCAGCAGCTCTCCTTCAGGCTCCAGCCCCTCCCTCCACATTCATCTCCTGTCCCCGACTGCAAGCTTCACTCTGCACTCGATAACCCCCTCTCCCGCCGTGGCCTCCTCAGCTGTGGGGGAGGGGGACCCATCATCTCTCTACCCCATCCCCAGCAGCTGGGTGAATGCATTTGTGAGCACCTACGGCATAAGGCCCTGTGTGGGGTGCTCTGGGAATGTGGCACTGAATGGGACCTGCACTCTGACCCAAACATGCTCACAGCCTGGCTGGGGAAGCAGACTCAGGCTTAAGTAACAGGACACGACTGAGTCCCTGCGTGTGCCGGATCCTGACACCCATCCTCTCCATCTCACAACAAACCTATCCGGTAGCTGTCATCCCCATTTTATAGAGGAACACATTGAAGCTCAGAAACATAAAGTGACTTGCCTGAGGTCACACAGCTTTTGAGGGCCAGAGCTGGGATTCAGTCCCATCTGTCAGCCTACAAAGCCCATGCTTCTTTCCCACACTGGGTTGCCAGTAGCTGTGGTAGGAAGCCAGGTCTGATCGAGGCCATGTGAGCGGTACAGAGGAAGTGCTGGGGATGGGCAGGCCACTCCCAGCCAGGGAATGTGGGCTTACAGGGGATCTTGAGTCACATTGGCCCTACAGAGGGTGAGCTCCAGATGGAGGGCTCGGGGAGCGGAGGCCTGGAGATGTGGGGGATGGGCAGTGTGTGTGTGAATGAGGAGCTGGGGGAGCCAACAACGGCAGGTCAGGCTGTGGCTGCTCTGAGGATACCTTGGATGAATTCTGAGGGAGGAAGGGTGGGAGAGAGGGGTCCTTGCAAGTCAGATCCCACCAACTGGTGTGACCGCCCATCAAGACAGAGTCTGGAACCCAGGTCCCAGTCAGACCACCCAGAGGCAGCCCCACTAATTGCATTTCTCAGTCAGTAACCCCTGAGTATCTTCTCTGTGTGGCTCTTGGATGGGCAATAAGGACAGGAGAGGAAAGGCAGGTCCCACCTTTAGGGCTCTGGGTCCTGCAGGAAGGCCAGACCCAAACACACGATTAGAGTAGAAGGAACACTGGGACTATGCAAGTCAGAGGAGGTGTCCTATACAATCCAGGAGTATCACCAAGGCTTTCTAGAGGAGGAGGTACTAGGGCAGGGTCCTCAAGGACAAGTAGGAATCACCCAGGTGGATATGGAGAGAAGAGTCACTCTAGGAGGATGGGACATCAAGTGCAAACGCTCACAGGTGAGTGAGCAAGCCATGCCGGGGTCTGCATGCAGCCCTAGGGCTGGAACCCTGGTGGTAAGGGGTGGAGGGAGGAGCCAGCAGGAGTGTACCAGGAGGGACCCCTGAGGCCCAGGGTCAGGACATAGAGCTCATCTGCAGGGTAGTGGGTAGAAGGAGACAGAGCTAGGGGGTTGGGCCCAGTGGCTCATGCCTGAAACCCCAGCACTTTGGCAAGCTGAGGCAGGAGGATCTCTGGAGCCCAGCAGCAGTTCAAGACCAGCCTATGCAACACAGCAAGTCCCGTCTCCTGAAAAATCAAAATGGAAATAGCCAGCCATGGTGGTACACATCTGTAGTCACAGCTATTCTAAAGCCTGAGATGGGAGGATGGCTTGGGCCCAGACGTCTGAGGCTGCAGTGAGCTAGGATAGTACCACTGCTCTCCAGCCTGGGCAACAAAGTGAGATGCTGTCTCTTAAAAAAAAAAAAAAAAAGACGCTAGAGTTCAGGAATGCTGAGATCCGATTGATGTGTGTTTTGACATTTGTACCACCTTGAAAGGTAATCTTGTTTCTTAGGTGGGAATATGTATATTGGGACTTTAGCTGGGAATAGGACTGTCTGGAGGGGAGAGAGGATTGCCTCAAGGCTTAAAGAGCATCCCTGAGAAGTGGGGAGCATTTCCCAAAGCAAAATGCAGGGATAGGGCTCTGGATACCCTTATCCGCTTTACTTACACTGGACCTAGGAAGGAAGAAGGAGACTGGGATTTAGGGAGCACCTAGTGTGGGCCAAGTTGGCGAAAGCCCCTGATGTGATGTCAAAGCCTGACCACGTGAAGGGTCAAGAGAACATGGTGTCTCAGGCTTCCTGGCTGCTGCTGCTT